GCGCACCAGGAAGGGGCTCTTAGGGTTGATTGAATAGACGCATGGAGAACATGGATGAAGGAAATGAAAGGGAAGATAGTCTGAGATCGGAGAGCCCGAATCACGGGGAAGGTGAGCGTCAGCTGAGTCAGGAGTTGAGTATGGACGTGGAAGGAGAGGGCAGCTAGGGGCGCCCTTCAGCGGATGAAGGGGAATCCTTGACGAAGAGGGAGTTGTTTCGAATCATCGTTGACCAAGATCGGGCCATAGCAGCGCTCAGAAGGGATTTGGAAGGAGAGCGAAGCGATGACATGATGACATATAGCCCAGGAGTGAGAAAGCGAGAAAGGGCGGGGGAGGACTCGGAATCTATGCAATACGGACTTCCGCATCACACTGAACCAGGCGCCGACTTGCCTAGGCGCCCGCGCGCCTGGAGGCTGCCAGTTGGACACATGTCGACCGGCCCTGATGAAACTAACGTATGGGCGCCTAGAAGAATTGCTAAACGCTTCGGCGTCAGGCAGCCCCTGGCGTGAAGTATATTGATGGAGCCGACAGGGACGACGATCCCTCCATTACCTAGTTATGATGGGGTGGCCTACCTAGAAGACCATTTGAACAGTTATTTCACGAAGATGCAACTGTACAACAGCTCAGATGCTACATTGTGTAAGGTATTTCCGTCCACATTCGCGGGAGTGGTCTTGGATTGGTACCATCAAATCGAGGAAGGGCGCATCGAATGTTTTGAGCAATTTGCAGAGCTGTTCTTGTCCAAATTCGCAAGCCGGAAACGTCGAACGTTGACTATAGGCTCCCTATTCAAGGTTAAACAGAGGGAAGGCAAGGCGCTCAGGGAGTTTTAAGATCGGTGGATCTCAGTCGCCATGGTGGTTAAGGATGTTCAGCCAGCGATGTTGGGTGTTTGCCTAGATGCATGCACTTCGAGCGAAGAGTTGTGCCGAGTTCTTTCTAAGTGGGATGTGGTGTCCACCAATGACCTGGATCGAAGAGTGCAGAAGGTGATCATGTTGGAGGAAACGCTGGCCGCGCGAAGGGCTGAAAAGAGGAGCATAAGGGGCGAAGAGGTTGACGTAAGGCAGGCGTCGAGACCCATGATGGGAAACCTCGGCCCACCAAGAAGGTCTGAGGCGCCGCGCCCGTTGCCAAGGGGTGCAGCAAATTTCATGGAGTACAGCGATACGCTCAAAAATGTCTTGCAATATGTGAAGGACAGGGGCTATCATATTCGTTGGCCGGGGCTCATGCGTGGCCAACCAAATGAGAAGAATCTTGACCGGTACTGTGACTTCCATCGGGACAAAGGGCACTACACGGCTGATTGCTATCAACTTAAGGCTGAACTTCAAACCTTGGCTGATAAGAGGATGCTCAATGACTTTGTGAGGAGAGTGGAAGAAAGGACACATCGCACTTACGCGGCGAGGCCGGCGCCAGTGGTACCGATGGTCCAGAAGGCGCCTGAAGTACCGGAGACTCTGCAGGTACCTGGAATACCCCCACTCCCATTTGAAGTGAATCAAGAAGGGGAACCCAACCGCATCAGACTCATAGTCGAGTCCATAACCGGCACCCTCGACTTGAGAGAGAAGTTGGAGAGATCTAGGCGCCTGAGGTCCGCCTCGTTGGAGGCGAAGGCAACAGTACACATACACTTCAACCAAGAACCGGATGAGGCGTGCTAGGTCCCCTCGGAAGAGGCTTTGGAGATACAAGGGGTGATAGCGGGATGCAAGGTGAAAAGAATATTGGTGGACACCGGAAGCTCAATGGATGTCCTGTTCAAAAGCACGTTTGAGCGCATGCAACTAGCGCATGAGTTGGTGCGCCCCTCAAGTTTGGTATTAATTGGGTTCTCAGGAGCACCCGCTCAAGTCATCAGTCGCGTGCGCCTGCTTGTGACCCTCGGTAATGAAACACATTGCGTGACGCATGCGGTGGAATTCGGAATCGTGGACTGTCCATCACAATACAACGTGATACTTGGTCGACCGCTCTTGGCACAATTCAATGGAGTGGCTTCCACTTGTCACCAAACGTTGAAGTTCGTGGCACCACAAAGCATAGGTATCTCGCGGGGAAGGAATGTTCCATGGTACGCACGAGAGGAAGAACCAAGAGGTCGCGCCCGCAAGCATAGACTAAACATTATCGACATTCGCCCCGAGGAGGCGCCCAGAGCAGAGTTTGTGGACGATGAGTTAGTTGTGGCGATAGATGAAGGGCGCCCGGAGAGACAAGTGCGAATATTCGCTCAAGCCCCTGAAGTCATGAAGGTGCCTTTGATAGAATTGCTGCGGGAGTTTGGCGAGCTGTTTGCCTGGAGCGTACAAGACATGCCTGGGGTTTCTCCCGAAACAGCGGAGCATAGGCTCACCGTGGATGAAGGAAAAAGGTCTGTCCAACAAAAGCGCCTAAATTCGTCCCCTGAAAAGGAGGAAGCGCTTCGTCATGAAGTGGACAGATTACTCAAAGCGGGATTCGTGGAGGAAGCAAGGTACATCACATGGCTTTCAAATGTGGTGTTTGTCCCAAAGCCTTCGGGAGATTGGAGAATGTACGTGGACTTCACCAACCTCAACCGGGCGTGCCCTACGGATGCATATCCCATGCCACACATCGATTTGCTTGTAGATGCGACAGCATACCATGAGGCGCTTAGTTTCCTCGACATGTTCTCAGGCTACCGTCAGATCCCCATGCTGGAGGAGGATAGGGCGAAGACAGCCTTCATGACGTCCTTTGGAAACTTTTGCTATAGAGTGATGGGGTTTGGGCTGAAAAACGCTGGAGCCACGTACCAGCGCATGGTAAACCAAGTTTTCCGCAAACAAATAGGGAGGAATGTGGAAGCATACGTGGATGACTTGATCGTGAAAAGCAGAAGTCGTCAGGATCACATCATGGACTTGCAAGAAACTTTAGAGACGATGCGACACTTCATGATAACGAAGCGGGGAACTGAAGCCAACCCCAAACAAGTCGAGGCAATTATGAGTTTGGCCCCCCCTCGAACACCGAAGGAGGTACAAGGAATGACAGGAAGGTTAGCGGCGCTTGGGCGCTTCATTCCGAGAGCTTCTGACCCGGGCGCTCCTTTCTTCAAGGTCTTGAAAAAAGCCACCAAGTTCAAGTGGACCGAGGAGTGTGACAAAGCTTTCGAAGACTTGAAACGGTTGCTCACGGCGGCTACAGTGATGACCGTGCCCAAGGTAAAAGAGGTGCTATATTTGTACATAGCCGTGTCTCACATCGCGGTAAGTGCGATCCTCATATCCCGAGAGCCGTTGACAAACGAAGAAAGGCCTGTGTATTATGTTAGCCCAGCATGATAGGGCACAAAACGCGGTATGCGCCCATAGAAAAGGCAGTGCTTGCAGTGGAAATGGCAGCAAACAAACTCCGACCCTATTTTCAGGCTCATAGTGTTGTGGTGCTCACAAATCTTCCCCTCAAAATTGTTCATGGGTCCATGGATGTGTCGGGGCGCCAGGTGAAATGGGCCGTGCAACTTAGTGAATTTGACATCATAAGTTATGCGCCCCGTCCTGCTATCAAGGCTCAGGTATTGGCAGATTTCATGGCTGAAGGTGTAGTGGATGGGGGAACCGGAGTTGAGGAATGTTGGCAAGTGTACGTAGACGGAGCGGCAAGTCGAGCAGGCGCGGGAGTAGGTGTGGTCCTTATTAGTCCGCTAGGCGCCCTGCACGAACAACGCCGCGAAGTATGAAGCTGTCCTTGCAGGGCTCCACATTGCGAGGGAACTGGGTGCTCATAAGGTGAGCATCAGAACTGATTCGGCGCTTGTAGTTAATCAGTTGAATGAGGTTTACGAGATAAAAGAGGAAACACTAGGCTCCTATGTACACTCTGTGAGCAAGAAATGCGCATGGTTTCGGGAGGTAACGTTCACCCATGTTCCAAGGGAAGAGAATTCTCACGCGGACGCCTTGTCCACGTTGGCCACTGCATTGTATTTTGAGGGAAATCGAACGATGATCGTGACAAAGGAGGTGTCACATGAGCAATGCAGTCAAAATCATGATTTTAAGTAAAATCGAAAACTAAGGTAGAATAAGAATCGTAGATTAAAATCGTAAAATCGTAAGAATTTAAGGTTCATATTAAATAATCACTTTAAACACCAGATAGTAATAAAAATGCATATCCTGAATAACAATCAACCACATATAACATAATTACTTCCCAAGATAAGTTTGTTTGCTAAATAAATACAACTAAATCCATATATCTATTCTTGTACATAATATAAACACACAATGAAATCACTTAATTAATAGTTAAGAGTAGAAAATTACATAAGATCGTTGGGAATCAACATTAATATCACTTACACATTATCATCATCATCCTCACCCTCACTCTCACTCTAACTCTCATCCTTGTCTATTTGCTTAAGGACTAATATAATTACTCTTAAGATCACTTGAAATACCTTCACCATTAACCATATTTCCTTGATCACAAAGATAACTCATTGATTGGTGCATTCCCTTCTTAATTGATAAAAGGTCGGGGATAGTGCTGCTGAAGGATTGAGAAATGAACGAAAGATTGCAATGGAATGGAGATTTGGATTTTTGTGAGGGTGGTGGGAAAAACCTACAAGCTAATTGGGAGAGTGGAAGATATCGGTGAAGGAAGGAGTTGGGTGTCGACGTGCGAAAGAGGAAGATATGAGGAAGAGAATGAAAATAAATTGAGTGTTGTCTATTGGGTTAGGGTTGCGTTGTTCATTATGTTGGGTCATGAGAAGTAAACTTGACTTGGTTTATGGACAGAACCGGACTTGACCAGCCTCATTTTGCTCCAATTGATGTAAACCTTGAAATCGTACAAAATCATAGAAATCGTAGATTTTAAGGATTCTAGAGTTTTAAATCGGGATTTTATGGGATTTTAAGGTTCAAAGATTTTACAATAAAATCATGATCGGAACCCATAGGTAAGATCGTAAAATCGTAAGATTTTAAGATTAAAATCGGGATTTTGACTACATTGCACATGAGGACATGGTAATGGCGTCCCTCTCGGCGGGAGTAGGTGAAGGGTGGATGGCGCCAATTTGGCTCTTCCTCACGCAAGGAGTAGTACCTGAAGATCCAAAGGAAGCTTGGCGCCTGCGGCAGAAGGCCGCCCGGTGTACCATAGTGGATGAGGTGTTGTACATGAGGTCACATTCGGGCGCCTGTCTGCGATGTCTCACTGATGCAGAAGGGCTAGAAGCAATCAATGAAGTACATCAGGAGACTTGTGGGATGCATGCAGGCGCCCGTAGCCTCGAGAAGATTTTACTCCGTAAGGGATATTATTGGCCAACGATACGAGCGGACGCTAGGAAGCATCTGGCAGCATGTCACCAATGCCAGATTCATGCTAATGACATACATCTTCCGATGGTGCCCATGCAAGGGAATGTAGGCGTCTGGCTTTTCGCTCAATGGGGCATGGACCTTTTGGGTCCCTTTCCCAAGGCGCCTGGGCAGTTCAAATACCTGATTGTTATGGTGGACTACTTCACCAAGTGGATTGAGGCTGAGCCTTTGGCGTCTATCACCGAGGTGCAGGTGCGGAAATTCACAAGGAAGAACATCTTCGCACGATTTGGACTCCCCGAATCTATCATCACTGATCACGGAAAGCAGTTCGATTGCAAGAAATTCATCGAATTTTGTGACGAGAACGGGGTGATCTTGAGATTCTCTTTTGTCGCCTACCCACAGGCCAACGGACAAGCGGAGGCAGCTAATAAAAATATATTGCATGGTCTGCACACAAGGCTGACAGAGGCCAAGGGCAAGTGGGTGGAGGAATTACCAAGCGTCTTATGGGCGCATAGAACCACCTTCAAGGTAGCTACAGGTGAAACACCCTTTGCGCTAACTTATGGAAGCGAAGCCGTTCTGCCGGTGGAGATGCGAGTTCCAACCATCAGGATGACGCGCCAAGACGAGTCAATGGACATCCAGGAGCGAATTGCCGAGTTATACCTATTGGATGAGCGTTGGGAGGCAGCGATTTTGTGCTTGGAGGCAATGAAAAGCCAGGTAGCGAGGTACTACAACAAGAAAATGCGGGCGCACAACATCGTGGCGGGGAGCCTGGTGTTAAAACGTGACTTTCGACCAAAGGCTATCGATGGTAAGATGGTGCCTAAATGGAAGGGCATATATCGTGTGCAGGAAGTTGTCGGCCCAGCGACGTTCAAGCCGGAACATTTGTCGGGTAAGAAGGTAAAACAAATGTGGAATGCACAAAATTTGCTCAAGTATGAGTTGAGAGAGGCAGGAGTAACAAGTGAAGGAGACGATGACCAGAGTGAGGAAGAGACGCCAAACGGGGCGTTTGGTGAGGAGTAAGCGAAAGGGAAAGGGGATCTGATCTTGGGAGTTTTATTTAGTAGGAGTATTCAAAAGCGCCCTTGATTGCGCCCGTAACACTGTAAAGCGCCCTCTTTTTTGTGCCCGTAGTATTTCAAAGCGCCTGAACATGTGAAGCGCCCATGTGTTAGCGCCCCTGATGTTTTTTGAATCGGATTAATTAATTATTTCAAAACTCCCATGAGTTGTGCCATTAAAGCGTCCGAGACATGTAAAGCGCCCACTAATTGCGCCCTAACAAGAGGAACCAACGGGCCTTTGTGTACGCCCAAAGCCCTTACGCGCCACATATACCACTACGCAAAGAGAGCAAGTAGGCAGAAATGGATCTTGATAAAATAGTTCGGTGGAATAATAAGCAACATATGCGCCTTCCTTGGAGCTCATTGTTCAAAAGGTAGATAAGAAATAAGAAAGCTAGTCATGGTCATACGCCCAAAATTACATAACGCGGCGCATTGCGTATGAAATGAACACAATAAAAGGCCTACTGACTATCAGTTGATTCCCCGCTGGACTCAGAACTTAATTCCTAGCCTGACTCATCCGCCGGCTTGTCGACAGGCGCGGAGTTATTATCAACAACTGGGCACCCACTCGCCATGAAGTCGATAACGAAGTTCACCATCTCTTTGACATCCCAGTTGATGGTGGGATGGTCGGACTCCAACTTCCTCTTCATAATCAGGACGCTATGCAGGCACGCTTGCGCCTTAAGCGCCTGTCCGCTGTCGGTGTCGACAAGCTCAGCTGTAGGCGCTTCCGAGGCCCCCTTGCCAGACTTTAGCGCCTCTTATTCTCCCGAGCAATCACCTTATTTTCATTCTTCAAACTCTTCTTCTCTTCAAAGAGTAGATCAATCTCACTCCTTTGGGCGCTCGTCTCATGCTCCAAATAGGCCTTCTCCTTCTCCAATTTGGCCACCGCTTCATGATGCGCCCTCTTGGCCGCCTCCAGCTTGGCTTCATACTCGGCCCACAACTTTCTTTTATCCTCGTCCATCGATTGTTGACGAGAGAAATGGCCTTGGCAGCCTCAATGTTGGCGTCCTCGCACGCCTGTACTAACTCCTTTTGCGCTTTTGCGCCGTCTCCAAGTTGTCTCGCATCACGCTAAGTGATGATGAGACATCTGCTGCTTCGACACACACCATTTCTCCAGCCAACGCGCCATTTTTTGCAAGAAGAAGCATCTGCCTAGGAAGAAATTTGGTGAGTCATGCGCCTGTAATAAAGGAAAAAGACAATTAGAGAGCATCTTACCAGAGCAGCCATTCGCGCCACCTCGCCCAACAGGTTACTGCCCTGCACCTCGCTAGGCGCCCGAAGCACCTCAGCTGCGCAAAATGCGAATCCAAGCGACGAATTTATCTCCAGTGCCGACCTGTTTGAACAGGCAATGTCGACCCTATGGCGGGGAGGCTGCAGCCACTTCTCCACAAAGTCGGGCACTGCAACTTCCTCGGCCGTGCGAAGCCTCGTACTCTGCTCAGGCTCCTCACCCTCGAACTTCCTCTTCATCCTGTTGCTGAGGGAAACGTCATCAATATCCAACTCCGGATCAGAAGGCATATCAATGCCAAGCGTCTCCTTTCGAGGTTGAGTAATTGGAGGTGCATCGTCGACCTCCACGACAGGGGCATCCGACACTTTCCTGGGTTTGATTCTCTTGGGGCTCGAGCGCCCCTTGCCTTTGCTGGCCGGGACCACAGGCGCCTGTTGCCCGGAAGTGGAGGATTTGTTCATAGACCCTTTGCTTTGATGTCCCCCTTTTGAGGACCCCTTCTTTGGGCGGGAAGGCGCCTTACCTAGGAAAACAGGCGCTTGGTATTCCAATCCCATTTGCTCGAACTAAGTCTCCTATAGCACTCGCGCCCCAACTTCGGGCTATCTTCCAAAAAATGCCTTGGGATATCTATGCGCCTCTGCAAAGATAGGCAATTGTCGTTGTTGGTCATAGTGAAAAAGTATCTAAATAACTTGAACGTGGGTTCAACGTTATGCTGACGACACTTCAAGTTGAATAAAACGTGTATCAAGAAGACCGAGGGAGACAAGCGCCCAATCGCACAGTGGCATGTCATCAGGGATCCCTTCCAATATCAAGTCCAAGGGGAAGCGCAACCCAATCGGAAATATTCCCTATATATATCGAGCCACCGAGGACCAACCACACCTATCCTGGCTATTGGTGAAGCAGGCGCATAAGCCCATGTCCGGGGCAAATTGCACGAGGTGATTAAACGATGCAACTCCCGCACCTTAACGGTAGACAAGTGCTTCGGCCCGGCACGTGCCACAGATAGCCTGGTCGCACTTTCAGGCCCCTCCCCGGGTGGTCAGGTATCCTCCCAATCAAGTATCCTATAGGTGTCGTCGTTACGGGCGCTCGAGTCCAGGGATGTAGGAGAGATCGCCAAATCGGTTGAGTGGGGCGCTGCAGGCGCAGGGCCTAAAACGGTGACCCAATCGTTTCTTGGTCAATAATAAGGGTCTAAGACCGCTAATCATGCGCCCACATATACAACAATTCAAGAAATTAAAAAGTGAAAAACAAGAGAAAGGAGGACAAACGGACTTACTTTGAGGCGCGGGTGGGGGCGCTTGGGCACTCGTGGAGGGTGCCTTGGGCGCCTTCGACACTACTTACTGACAGATGCCTCCTCCTCAACGGGCGTTGTAGTCACTGGAGCTACCTTATCTTTTTTAGGCGCCTCCTTCTTCGAGTGAGAAGCCCTCTTCTCGTGGTCCCGGAGGGGATCGGGGGAAAGATGCTTCTCGAGCTCGGCGATGACATTGGGCGCCGCACCACCGTCCTGCTCGGCGGTCTTAGTGGTCGTTCCAGAGTCGGATTCCGACATTGCAAACAAACGGGCAGAGGGCGCACAGGCGAAACAAGGGCAAGCGGCCGGTAGAGGGAGAAAGTAGAGAGAGAAGAGAGTTTGGGGGTGGAATGAGGAAGGGAGGCGGCGAGCGAGAGTATTTATAGGGGGGGGGGAACCCCGCCTCGAGATGTGTGCACACGAGTTGGGACGATCCTCACCGTCCGATTTTGATCTTCGAAATTTCAAAATTTACATTCGGATTTTGAAATTCGAACTTCCCAAACGAATGCTGGGGGGGGGGGGAACCGTCATGCGCTCCATTTAGCGAGTGGGTGGTTAGTGATCCAGTTGCACATAGCGTGCCTTGAATGAGTACACGCGCATAAATTGGAAGATACCATGAAGAATAGCGATCCTTTCGTCAGCAGCGACCGAGCGCATGTGCTAATGATATGGAGCGCAAAAGTGACAAGCGGATGCTTCCTTAGAGCGCATAGATTGGCGGATGTCGTGAAGAATAGTTATCCCCTCGTCAGCAATGAGCGGGCGCATGTGCTGATGTTATGGAGCGCAAATGTAGCAAGCGGATGCTTCCTTAGAAGGCTAATTATGAGAAATGCCAGTTTATAGTTAGGCGCCCACGCTGATGTTATGGAGCGCAAATGTAGCAAGCGGATGCTTCCTTAGAAGGCTAATTATGAGAAATGCCAGTTTATAGTTAGGCGCCCACCCGTGGGCACCTAACTGGGGGCAATTGTTGGGGAAGAGGGAATAAGCCCAATGAAATTTAGGCCGATTAAGAGCCCAAGAGGATATAGGTTAGTTGGAAGCTAGGGTAAGGGGGCGCATAACGACAAAAGAGGCTCGAGGACAAGGAAGTATGGTCGAGGGAGGTTGGGAAAGTGCCACGCAGGTTAATGGTCCCCACATGCGCCTGTGAGGGAGCATGGGGAGAGCGCCACGTATAAGCGCCTGGACGTTGCGTCGTACAAAACATTTAATGCTGGGTTGACGTCAGGGTGCGCCACAGAGATTGGTCGGGAGCTTGTCGGGGACTCGACTAGTATAAATAGTGTTCGGTAGGTGGCATTTACGCAGGTTGACTTCTCTCACTAAAATCTCTCTTAGCACTTATCTCTCTAGAATTTGCACTGACTTGAGCGTCGGAGTGCTAACGGGCATTCGGTAGCTCTCTAGGCGCTTGTTGTGCAGGGTTCAGGCGCCCCAAATGGTGGCTGATACTCACGAGTGACAAGTCGACAGGACGTGTGGATCGAGGCTCAAACACGTTTCATGAGCCACAAATCACAAGGTCGATGATTGTACGGGGTGTCAATCGGGCGGGTTCGGGCTGGGTTCAATCGGGTTCGGGTTCAAACGGGTTGCGGGTTAGTCGGGTTCGGGTTCAAACGGATTGCGGGTTAGTCGGGTTGCGGGTTCATCGGGTTCGGATTCAATCGGGTTGCAGGCAAATCGGCTTGCGGGTTCATCGAGTTTTGGGTCAGGCGGGTTGCGAGTGGGTCGGGTTTCGGGTTGTTCGGGCCAGCGCATCAAATAACTTAACTCATTACTCATTACCAACTTACACATTTTATTACACTAATTTAAAATATTTTCTCAACTTTTTAACCAATTTATTTCTACCTCGTATATATATACTTTATTTTTTTGAAAAACTAGTCAAAATGTTAAATCAATTTGTATGACTTGCAAACTTGTTATGTAATTAATCATAATTGATAAAGTATTATTGTTAATAGTAATGGTGATATCAATATTTGCAACCAAAAGACACCGTTAATTGTTTATTTTATATTTTAATATTAATTCAGTAGTAATTGGATTAAAGTATCTCGTTTAGTATAACCATGCAAATCTGGTATTTGGCGTGTGGTATTTGGCAAAAGCATAGTGATAAAAGGAGTTATTTCAAAATAACTCATTGCCCAAATAACTTTAGTAAACTGTTGCCAAACGAGTTATTTGTAAAATTGTTCGAATTATCCTAAAAATTGAACCATTAAAGATTAGCTATCAAACTTAGTAAAATTATTGTGACTTCAATCATAACTTACTCAATAGCATATATCCTATACACTTAGCTTTACTCTCAATCAACAATATTAAGTTAGTATATGTTGTTGATTGTATACCCTAAACCATCAATACATTATACACTAACCACATAACCTATACCCTAACCATATGTCCTTGAGTTGTGATTTTGCTAGTATAGTTAAATGTGAAATTCATACTTTGATTTACAAAACATAGATAAAAAGTGATATTTGCTAATTGTTATACCCTAACCATATATCCTATACTTTACACCACATACCTTGTACCCTAACCACGTACCATAAACATAAATTAAAAAGGGATCTCCTGCAGTTAAAGACTTCAAATGACTTCAAGTGAACATATGTTAATAAAAAACTTAGAACCGTCAAAACCATCAATATCTTATACCCTAACCATATACACCCTAAACCATATGTACCTTATACCTTGTACCCTAACCATATGCTTTATATCCTAAACAACGAACCGTCAAAGATTACTCATCAAGTTTAGTATAAATTGTTATAACTAATGGTTAATTTATTTATTAGCCCATAAAAAAATTATATACATATATACATATTAGCCTTCAAAGCATATAAGAATAATTTTAACTAGTCATGCCCTCCATATAAAAGTTAAAGATTCATATTTCAAAAGCTAAAATTATGAAAAACCAAAAAATTGAAAACACCAAATTTGTTTCCTTCTTTCTTTTCACAAAAATATTAAAATTTTCCTCCTTCTTTCTCCTTCCGTACATTAGAAAAACTCAATTTTCCCTTCTCTTTCTCTTCCATAAAATTGAAAGAACCAAATTACCCTCTTCTTTCCTTCTACAAAAAGTTGAAAAGTCAAAAGTTTTCCTCCTTATTTCTCTTTCATAATCAAAAGAATCAAACTTTCCCACTTCTTTCTCTTCCCACATATCAAAACCACCAAAATTACCACTTGTTTCTTTTCTAAGAAATTCAAAGAACCAAATTTCCCTCTTCTTTCTCTTCCCAAAAACTTGAATACACCAAAATTTACCTCTTCTTTTAAAAACATCAAATTATTAAATATATTACTTTACTTTATTTATATTTAATTGATAATTTTATTGAATAGTTAAATTAACCAAAATTTTAATTTATATATTATATTAATATTTTCCTGATCTCAAGTAACCTTCATGTTTCAATTTTTGTAATTTTCTTAAAATATGTAATATCAAGTGAGTTTCATATTTTTAAAATTTCTTATACGAAATGAAAAAATAATTTTACTTAAGTTTAGAATGAAAAACTTTATTTTGAAAAACTATGTATTGTATATTTTTATAATTATTCAAGTGGATTAGATGAAATTCGGGTTGAGTCGGTCGGGTTACGGGTTAGTCGAGTTTGGGTCAATCGGGTTCGGGTTAATCGGGTTGCGGGTCAGTCGGGTTGCAGGTCAATCGGGTTCGGGTTAGTCGGGTTGCGGGTTAGTTGGGTTGCGGGTCAATCGGGTTGCGGGTCGGGCGGGTTACGGGTTGTTGACTTTTAATCAATTCGGGTTGCGGGTCGGATTGATCGAGCGGGTTAATCGGGTTGCACAATGTTTTGACACCTATATGTACCGGCGAAACCACGTCGCCTTCAACCATTCATTTCCCCTTTCGGCCTTTTTACTTCCACAATGGCCTTCAACTTTAACGAGTTCCTGTTCGGTTCCTTCCGAGGCTTCACATGTTTTTGTTGTTTTCTTCACGTTACGTTTGTACCCAGAGAAATTAATGTAGATGTCTGTATTTCAACAAATTAAAATGTACTTCCTTGTACTATAGGATGTTAGAATATACTTATATACTGAAATATTGAAAACAATTGTAGACGTAGTTCTGAAGTCATTCGGGCCAATCACTCTCGTTCGCTTCAATGGCCGCCGGAAAATGTAGGTAGAGCAAATTAGTGGGAGAAATTGATGAAGCGTGCTTTTGGTCATAGGATTTGTGAAGTAGCATCTAAAGTTTTTGAATTAAAAGAAATTGTTTAGATACTAGCTCTTTTTTAGATTTCTCTCATTTTGGTGTCGTAGAAAATATGTTTTTGTTCAAATTTTGGGAGAAATATTTTTGAGAAAAAATAGTTGAGTGTTTGACTGATAAATTATTATAAGTACTTTTTATTATAAAATGTAATGGAAAATTGTTAAAATTAAATTCTAATAAAAATATAAAACAATCGTAAAATTCGACAAGTTATCGTATGAACTTGAAATATTTGGAAATAAGATGAATATTTATGGGTATTCAAAATAACTATTTATAAATTTGAACGTTTAAGATAATACAATGATCCTTAAAAATTATGTTTATCAAAACATAAAAAAATATTATTTTACCAAAATAAAATTAATACACCATGTATGAATCTTGCATTGATGTTATAAAGGCGTTTATGTTAACCACATGAATTATTAAAAAGACCTATTTATCTAGTAAATTACTAATTTATCAATTAAGTAATTACTACTTTAAATTAATCAAAATTTACTGTTCTGACAATATTAAGTTTTGAAGATTTTAATGTACCATTTTTTCTTTCTTCCTCCTGTAAACTTGGAATTACTATCCGAGAGTAGATAAGAAAAAAACTCCCTCAATTATAGGGGTGTCTCCATGGATCCGCTGCCTAATTTCAATAATATGATACCATCGAATCGAGTGCAGTTATGAAAGTAAACTGTTTTGATCAATGGTTTTGTTTTAAGGTTAAATATATACACTTGTATATCCAAAACTTTCACGGTTGTGCCAATAATATCTAAATTTCCTGAAATACCACTTATATCCAATTACTTCACATTCTTTAACGGTGTTTTTGGATATACAAGTGTATTTAACCAAAAATATATTGGGAAATGGATAGATTTGGCAAAGAACAACTTTAAAACAAGGATATAAGTGGTATTCCGAGAAATTTGGATATTATTGGCACAACCGTGAAAGTTTTGGATATACAAGTGTATGAAACCTTGTTTTAACTTCTACAATAATACGCCTGAAAAAGTCTAACATGATCTTATTTTTTTGTTTTTTTGAATGTTAGTTCATTTAGTACATTATAATCATAATCTTTTACTAAAATATACTTCAATATGACTAGAAGTAGACACATCTTTATCTGATCGAACTACTAAGACCCGTGAAGAGCTTATACTTTTCTTTGTCGAGCTCCCTGCCATTAGTATTTTGTCTTTGATTGAGTGATAGTTAGCTAAGCGAGAAGCTGTGATCAAGAAAGCCCCACCCAGTAGTGCCTCTACTCCACAAATCCTAGTTCGTCATAGACAACCCAACCACCTTTTTTAGTTCTTTCAGTGGTCTAAACAAGATAAATTAAATCTAGTCTGATGTCTCCGGCATCATGTATCTATGATAAGTGGCAGTCCATTTCCATACAATAAGACAACAAATTTTAAAACAGTTTATGTGCCTAAATTATGAAAATGCTTAGTGAATATCTATCGATTTCTAATTAAGATATGATGTTAAACATGTGGTATAGATTTGTTTCTATTCTCAAGTGTTATATGAGAAATATATGATTCAAAAAAAAAAAGTGAGAAATTCGAACATAGGACTTACAAATTAAAGACAGTAGTATTAGCACATAACAAATCTCTTATTTTAAACACAAATAATAATTGTACGTGCAAGCTTTTTTCCCAACAACTGAACTCCAAACAGTACAAGATATCAACTCATATCCGTAATAAGTGATAATTTGGCTCCAAAATGGAAACCCTTGGTATGTTGAAGGTATCAATCCATTGGACTCATGCCAATGGTTTAATTGCATTCATACATTCTGGTATCTTCAACGATCACAAAATATCAAGAGAAGAACTGAGGAAGAAAAAGAAATAAATTGTCCTCATAGGATTAGAGAACAAGCTTTTATTCTTAATAACTCATGTTCTTGACCATACGCATCATTTCACGACGCTTGAACCGCAGCCGCCAAGCGGATCATACTACTTTCCCCAACTGATGATGAGTGAGCGACTATTGGTCGCACCGCCTCGAACGCCGCGGCCGCCGTCAACGAATTCAGAGCCTCTGTCGGATGGAACCAGTCCCAGAAAACATACCTCGACCTGTCGGGACAAGATGGTTGGTCAGGGACGCACTGTCCGCTTTCCGCCTCCACGGTGCAGCAAGGGGAATCCAACACCTCCAGCGCCTTGAGACCTGAGTAACGGAAAAATCATCCATATTAGTTAGGAAAATGTTAACAGGGAAAATTACTAAATTAGGTAGAAAATTGATTAAGGTTACCGGAGAGTGTTGTCGTCGGATCTTTCCGTCGGACCGTCATTAACATGTCTGACCCGGACCCGATGTAAACGAACTGGGCACCCGGTAGAGTCGCTTGTAGCTGATCAATCGCCGATTTCAGCTGGACGTTGAAGAGCACCGCGGCGTCGTTTAGAGCCTCCGCGCAGCCAGAAGCCGACCCGTTGGTACCGTACCGACGGATCGCGAAAGGAGCGCATCCAATCTGGCCCAATGCAAAGACGCCGATTTTCCTCGCTCCGGCAACGTATAACCTCTGTGGTAATCCAAAAGCCCAATCAGGAAAAAAAAATGAAAAATAGTCAGGCCCAATATCAGAACGTGCTTGCGAAACATTGGGCTCGGCCCATACCTGGAGCTGCTCCTTGTATCGGTTGGCCAGAACGACGGCGAACTGTTCGACGGTGTAAATGCGGCTGGAGGGATAAAACTCGGGGCGGAAGTAATTGTTGAGGAAATCGTTGTTGCCGAGTCCGAGGGTGTATAAGCACTTGCCCAAGCGGGTGTAGGCGCCGCCGGCGCCGAGGAGAAGGGCGAGTCGGGAAACGGAGATTAGGTGGTTGTCCAACTGTACGTCCAAGGGAATTCGCTGGCCCTGAATTTTATTTTGTTGTTGACAGAATTAGTAGCTAGTCGGAAGGTGAGGAGGTTTGGTGGGTTGTAGCAAGTTTACCAGTTGCGCCCCAGTTTCGTCGAGGATCCCGGCGGAGCCCGACGCATAGTTCACCCCCGACAGAGTGTCGATGATGGTGGCGGTTGCAAATGGGGGAATGTAGTTCTCAAAGCCCAAGTATTCGGCTGGACTTGCAAACAACGGAACACTCATTAGCTATTCGGCCCAAATATTAACCCAAGCCCAATCCTTTCAGGAGTGAAAATAATAGCCCAAACCCAGCCACTCCTTGGAACTTGGAACAATTTTGCGTTGACAAGTATAAAAAGTTGGGGGAATGAGGGCAGCAGTAGGATGGAAATGAATTGGGTTGGGTCAGTTTCTCTATACCCATGTTTAATTCAATATTAAAAAAAATTAGATAAAATATCTATTGGTTTTAAAAAAGTAAATTCGGTCCAACCCAATTGATACCTACGTGTTTATGGTTACAGTAACCTACAAAATGATGTCGTGTTGCTTTTTAAATGCGGGTTGGATGGATAATGAATTTGATTTTGGCAAAACTCAAATCCAACCCAACCAAATTCATCCATTTAACAAAATTGAGTAAAACTCGAAACCCAAAATCTATCAACAAATAAATTTTACCAAATTTAACTGCGTTAGATCGGATTGAATACCCTTTAGATGCATTGCGTTCAATTGCCATCCAACTGCCGTTACACTTTCATTAATAAAGAGAAGCAGCCCCACCGGAAAGGACGAAGTTTGTTCGTACTCACCTGTTCTATTAGCTGCCTATTGGAGGTTCGACCAATCACCATTTATCAAATTGATGTGGGGCCCACCCTCCATAACTGATTGTGATTTTTAACATTAAAAGTAGTTTGATCTCACTTTCATTATCCATAATGATCGTGATTTGTTGCATTTGATTACTTTGATATCACTTTCATACTCTAATGATTTTTAACAAGTAGCTTCATTTGACCTTACTATTGTTAATACAAGCGTCGGGATTATATCGATGACTGAGCAATCTACATGTCTTATACTATCCGCAATAAAGATGGATAAATATATATGAATCTTCCTACATATGAGTTTCTCTGACATAGTCTCATTTTTTTCATACGCGATAATAATGTAGTAGCCAGGAATTGTACATTTATTAAATTTAACATGTACTCCATAGTCGAAATTGCTCTTTGATATAAGTTTCATGGGCATAAAATAATAAACTACGTTGTTATTAGGGGTGGCACCCCTTACCGAAAACCGCCCGAAATAGGCTTCGGTTTCTCGGTTATCGGTTAACCGACCCACTTTTAAGATAAAAAATCATTTCGTCTAGCCTCCGATAACCGACCGAAGTTCGGTTACTTCGGTTACCGGTTAGTGGATAACCGGCCGGCTATCGATTTAACTGGCCAGCTAGTGGATAACCGGTCGGTCATTGGTTTAACCGGTCGGTTAAACCGATAACCGGTAACCGAACTGCCACCCCTAGTTGTTATAAAAAATAAAAAAACAAATGAAGATAATAAAAATATAATTAGCATCCAAGACATTTTACCTCAACAGAACAAATGTGATTGGGTTAAAAGAACTGCTTTTTATGGTTGTTACTAGGGTGGTTGTCAATTTGGTTTGGTTTGGTTTGGTTAACCAAACCATTAAGTATTAAAAAACAAAAACCAAATTTCAAAAACCAAAACCAAAACTAAAACCATTAAGGCTCTTATTGGTTTTTTAACAAAAAAAACCAATAAGGGCCTTAATGGTTTTGGTTTGGATAACCAAAAAATCAATATGTACTCATACACTCATATTTATTCCTATTTCCCTCCTTTTTATTGAATAAACGTCATAATAATGGTAAATGACCATAACAAATTATTGGTTGGCATGCGTGTCAAAAGAAAAAAAATATATATGTTGATAAATAATTTTATTCTTATTGGTTTCTTAATGATTTCTATTGGTTTTTCGGTTTTAACCAAACCAAAACTATTAAGTTGCTTATTGATTTAAAACCAAAAAACTGAAACCATTAACTTTCTAATTGGTTTGGTTTCGGTTAAAACCAAAAAACCAAAACCAAATGGACAGCCCTAGTTGTTACATACAAGAACTTGTAGTTAGTTATAGGTAAGAAATCGTTTTTCATATCTATCATAAATATAATAAACCATTTGACGGCAAATGAGGCTTCCCAATGTTAGATTGTTAACATGATTTTTTAGTTATTTTCTTATTTCATAATGATTAGAGTTGCATTTTGCTTTTAACTATACGAGGTACTGGGAATAAATGAATATAAATTTACAAAACACAATGAGCTCATTTCATATTTTAAAATAATTTCAAAATCTAAGTTGAAACAAAGAAGATATGAACCTAAGAAAAATAAAAAAAATTAATCTCACCTCTTAGATAGATCTGACATCACATAACAATACACATATACATAACAAAGGGTTATTACTTATTACACCCTAGGCCCTAGCTAGACCCTTTTCACTAATATTACAATAAAAAAGGTATACCTTGCACAAAAAACATTCAAAATATAATTTTATTTTAAGTTATATCGAATTCAGTCAATATATTGATACGTAAAAGTAGCTGCATTAGTTAGTTGTAATTCTTGATAAATGTTATGTTAGGCAAAAGGATGCATGGTAGGCAATTATTTTGGTCATGTGGTGACTACATGACAGAAAGTCAGAAACCACACTTGTCTGACAAAAAGTAAGTTAGGAGTGGTAGGCACTAGGTCGCTGTACTGTACGTACTACAAACAATAAAATAAAATACAAAAGTATGGAGTTATTATGAAGTCTGTGAGGGAAGACGGACCGAAGAAATCGACGATGTTCCGGCCGTTGGTGAACCGTCCGGTGGCGCCGCGGCGGAAATCAACTCCGTAAGGCGAGTAGTCGACTTTGGCAACGGTTTGGAGCCAGTTGTTGTTCCCATTGTCGGCCAAGGAGTCTCCGAATATGAAATAGCACGGCACCGCTTTTTCCCCGGCCGCAAACGACGATAATCCCGCTACTACCATCAACGCGGCGGCGACCCAAACAGGGTTTGAAGCCATCTCCGATTGTACAGACAAGGAAAAGGATATATGGTCGATCGAGAGGCTGGGGGTGAACAACGCAAGTACAAAAGAGATTTGATTTTGGCCTGGGGGACCAAATAAGATGAGGGGAAACAAAGGCCAAGTGGATGTGGATGTGATTTTTAGTTTTGCTAGGTATATATATATAGCTGGCTTAAGGAGCGATTGGGGTTAATATTACAACATATTGAGTGTTAGGGAGAAGTGGATATCAAAATTTTGCATTATATTGTTTAAAATGAAAGGTTTGGATATTAAATTGTATTTACCCTTATTATTATGAGAGGTCTTAATATGCATTCTCCAAAAAAATGTCTAACTCATGAATTTTAAGTTAATTATTTTACTGGGAGTAGAAAGTGTTCCGGGAAACACATCTCGATAACTGGATGTGTTGGAGGCAAGATTGTCAAGCCACTTTATATTATGATGTTAGTTTGGCAAGTTGTATGGTGATACAACAGGTTTATTGTCGGTTCACGGACTACTGCTGTACTGGATAACGAAGGGTAAGAATCATTGGGGAATTAAAGTGTAAACAACAGCTAATTAATGAGGTGGGTTGTAATTATAATTATTAATTTTAATATATATATATATATATAATTATTAAATGTGAACACAGGTGTATGCCATACGTCAGGTGTACGCTAGCCTTTACCATATATGGTTTTTTCTTCAAACGGAACGAACAGAGAAAGAATCAGACCGATTCCCTAAATGCCCTTCTGGATATTCCGAAAGAAATCGAAGAAGTTTTTGGGAATCCTACAATATCCATTCGTTCTTTTTTCTCTGAAATTTACATTCATATTTAACTACAATACAATACGCTAACCAAAATGTAAAATCATCATATTAAAATACAATATATATCTAATGGAATACCGGAGGCAGTTGAGAGTATAAAGACTCTACTGAATGATTTCTATCGCAATATTTGTTTTGCTTTCCTTTTTTAACCATTTCATTTTTGGGTGCTTTTTTAGTTTGAAAAGGGTATTGTATTGTATCAGTCGTCGTGGTCACTTACTTACCAAGAATTAAACAAGCACGTTTTTAGTTGTTGTTATCAATGATTCTAAGTGGATTTGATATTTTTCAGTGGTTTGTGGTTAGAATTAAGTTCCAGGTGGTCACGGACAGACATGATTGGATTGGTCAGTACAGAAAGCACTGTGGATGTGTGTTTCACGAGCCACAAGTTGCAAGCTCGATGATTGTACCCGTTCTCCATCGACCATTCATTTCCCCCCCGGTCACTAGCTTTCCACTATGTTTGGCAACAAGGGGGGTGCAAGTTCGAGGGGGTACAAGTTGAGGGGTAAATTGTTGGGGGGTGCAACTTGGTGGAGGGTGTAAGTGGAGGGGTAAATTGTTGTTTGGATGAAAAAGTAGGGGGGTGCAAATAGAGTAAAAAGTAAGTAATTATATTATTATAAAATAGATTTATCAATTTATAAAATATTATCACAAAATAATAACATGAAAATTCAATATATAATAATAAAAATAATAAATAAAAATAATTTTAATAAAAATAATTATTATATAATAATGCTCAAATATAATTATTTATAACAACAATAATAATCATTGGTCGAGCAACCTCGAAACTCAAAATCCAACTCGTAACTGGTCATCCTAAGGGGGTTCTCGTGCCTAACTTTAAATTGAATATGGTCAAACTTAGTCAAACACGTTCGAATCTGTAAGTTTTAACTACTTATTAAAGTAAATCGAGTTAACTAAACTGTTCCTCTCTATCTTTTCAACAAATGCTTCTTATCTCTAATTTTCAATGCAAATTCGGGTCAACTAAGAGATATCGATTTGACGAGGCGAACATTGACAAACTTGCTCTCTTAGTCAAACGGTCAACCCCAAACAACTTCTACACTAATATAGATATAAGAAAAAATTAATAATATTAATTATTATGTAATTATAATCTAATTAAAAATTCATAATTCCCCTCCTCCTCCTTCCCCCTCCCTTCCTTCCTTTCCTTGCACCCCAATTTGGGGGGTAAGCCGAAACAGTGAATTTACGCTCACGTTTTGCACCCCCCTACTGTTACAAAATAACCAAACGGGGGTAAACACCTTGGAACTTGTGTTTACCCCTCCAAACTTGCACCCCCTTCCATTTGCACCCCTTCCCAAACATAGTGTTCAGCTTCGTTGTCTGTCGACAATTTGCTGGACCTTGAACTTTAATGGCTTTTGTTTTTACTTTTCTTCCAATGGTTCACATGTTTGTTGTCCCGGTTTTTTAGTATGCAATTATGCATAACCAATCTGGTCCATTAATTTTGAGTGGGGTCATATTTAAAAGGTGAAATAAAAATAAAATTTTCCTTTTATTCTTTTGTTTTTTTTTTTATCTAACCTAGATTTTAATTTTTTTTCACAGTAAAACCATGTTTATTATGACATGAAAAGTAATATTCATTCCAATATATTTCGAGAAAAATTATTTTGTACTATCCATTACCACTCCATTTTTGAAAAATACATGTTCAAGGGGCAATAAGTTCTCACTTTGAACTTTTAGAAATCACAATTGGATGGCCGCAGTCTTGATAGAACCTCAACGGGCGTCGTTGGTGGCGGCCAGTCGTGGGTCACGTGATGGAGGAGATTCGATTGGCTTATATACTGTGAATCAGAGATGGTGAAGGGATAGTTGTGCATCCCTAAATTGGTAATCAACAAAGGAGTGAAGAGGTGGGAGGATAGCCTAGTCGCCAGTTCTTAGCATCGCTTTCTTCACCGCAATTCTGGACAAACTGGATTTGGGGGTGCGAAGTGGAGGTAAAAGTATCTTGGCTTGATGATCATCTAGTTCTATTTCAATATTCTATTGAATCTGTATATCGGTGGGTCGTCCTATACAAATTTAAACAAATGAGGTATTATCCGTTGAAAATTTATGAAATATTAAAATATCTTATTAACTATTCACTTGGATATGCGCTATAGCTGTAATATGTGCGATGTTGTCATCATGATATTCCTATATGTTAATATATGAGATTTTGTAGCTCTATTGCTCTAATATAGACGAGTTTTGTACAGAAACCTCTACTATGAGTAGTTACTCGAACTGATAGTTGGATTAGGAAATTGTTTAGTTATAAGCTTCATAAACATACATGTGTTTTGTGCATATATGATTGATCTTTATATATGTATGTATGAATTTTAATTGCTCTAAATTAGTTCATATTAACCATGGAATGGCCCCAGTGTCATTACCAAGACATGTGGCGATTTAACATAGATTAAAGCTAAAATTGTGAACAAAACAAAGTGTAGTGGACGTATGCAGGTGCAGTGGTAAAATGCAGATGTGCAGAGGCAAACGTCTAGCAGGAGGCCAAACTGATGAAGACCCAAATCGAATTATTCTTGGTTGGAATCTTCACTCAACTGTCACCAGCCCTTAGAAATTATTGGGATTGGATCAGATTTCTTGAAGTGAGCAAATGGATTTGGTGGCTCACCAATAGAGAAAATGATGCAAAAATTTATTACAAAGAAAGAGACTTAAGCTGGCAACAACCTTCTCTTGCAAATGGGATCTGCAAGTGCCTTGTTTTGTGGGATTAAATATGCATAAAATGGATTTAAAAATGGCAGCAACTAAGGAGCTAGGAGACACTTTTGGAGACAGATTTTGGAGAGAAAAATCAAAGTAGAGAGCTCACTTTGACACACTTTAGAGTTGGGCATTTTGAAGAAAGGAAAACTCTTGTAAGTTGGGGGTTAACTTCAATACTTAGTTCTTTCTCTACTCCTTTGTTTAGGTAATTAATTATCACGTTGAACATTAGCATGTTTATGTACTTTCTTTTCACCATAAACTAATCCCCCAATTTCTGGAGGAAACTTATGAATTTCATTATCTAGCCTTGATGTTTTAATCATGACTTGTTTTTCCTCCATTTTCTATCGTGTGAAATTTTTAACGCTTTGTGTTGATTGACCACCTTCACAATGATTTGTAGTTTTCTAGGTTAATAACGATAGTGAAAACCTAGTAACCGAACTCATTTCACACACATAATTGCCTATCGAAGCGATAGTGGATTAAATAGGGAATTATGCAATCATTTTAGGGATATCGTTCTTAAGGCTAATTAATTAATTCAGTTAACTACGATAGTAGAGATTGTCTTAATTAGTTAGTACGTGGTAACTCTTGATAGAGATAGCTATCAATTTAGAGGTATCCCGACTGTAGAAATATGGATTAAATTGATTAACAAGGACAATTAAAATTATCGAGGTAAATAGTAGAATCTTGTGTTTCCCCCGGAACTCTCAAAAGTTAATTTCTCCAAAATATTTCATTTTCCGAGTTCATTAATTTTAGTAATTCTGCAACTCATCACTTGATTACAACCTTCGCAATTTCTATAGTTTCTTGAACTAAATTTGTTAATTATTGAATTTCACCAATCCCCTAGAGAACGATAATTTTACTTACACTTTATTACTTGTACGACACTATGCGCTTGCAATTTTGTCGCCGCCAAGTTTTTGGCGCCATTGTCGGGGATTGCCAAAATTCAATTTTAATTAATTTTGTTTGAGTGAACTATTTTGATTTGTTTTTTAAGTGTGTAGAAATTTTTTTAGGGAATTTCTTCTTTGTATATGCGAAGAAGGGAGATTAAGGAGTTGTTGCAACTAAATCACGAAATTGAGAAGGCCTGTAAGTACAACCGAAAACAGGCAAGGGTGGGGAGAGCCAAAACAACCAAAATGGAACCTACCTCACCAAAAAGCTATCAAATTGAGAGTTCCACCTCCTCATCAATAGACAACATGGAGGAGGGAACGATCAATGGCCACAGCACCAACCAAAACATCAACCACCACCACCACCACCACCACGAGAGTAGAGATGATCCACCTGAAGATCGTACCATACGAGGTAAGCTAAACCGAAGAACCGGAGCTGCCTACGACCTTGTTGAAATAATATGCTTGAATGAAGATGAGTGGGGTGGAGAGAGGAGGTATCCATGAATTAGACAAGTTTACTAGCTTGAAAGCTCGACTAGAAGCCAAGTTGGATTCAATGTTTGACCTTTTTGAAAAGAA